GCGCACCTGGCACCAGCCCTGAGGACCCGCTTCGCCATTCTCGCAGCCAACACCGCTGGACTTGAAACCGCCAAATGGAACCTCCTACACAGAATATCAGCGACTGCGCATTCCCATAAAGAGATAAGAGTAGTACTCACCGGATGCTGCTGCATCATCGTGTTGGTCCAAACGACACCAGCCTCGACTTGACGGGCCAGCTTCTCAACACGAGCCAAGTCTTTACCATAGATGGTAGCACCCAGACCCCAAGAAGAATCGTTGACGCGCTTGATGATATCGTCATCATCGTTCCACTTCAACAATGGAACGATTGGTCCGAAAGGCTCTTCCTGCACAAGACGGCTATTCTCGGGAGGGTTGTTGACGAGAGTAAGCGGTGCGAAGAAGCCTGGGCCTTCGGGGATCTTCCCGCCGACCAAGAAGTCGTGACCGTTCTTTTCCGAGTCGGCGAAGAACTCGCTGACCTTCTCGTAGACCTGTCTGTTGTTTAGTGGGCCAAACATTACGCCTTCGTTCTGACCTGGTCCGACACCAGCCTGCTTGGACGCCTCGACCAGTGCCCCGGAAAGCTTCTCGTAGACATCCTCGTGAACGTAGATACGCTTAGCTGCATGGCACACTTGACCGGAGTTGAAGAAAGCGCTGAAGAGGATAGTTGGTGCGACCTTCGCAACATCCACATCTGGGAGGACGATACAAGCATCATTGCCGCCCAACTCGAGCGTCATGCGCTTCAAGGTCGCAGCGCAGCTCCTGGCCACCAGCTTACCTGTCGCCGTGCTGCCAGTGAAGGAGATCTTGCGGATCTTTGGGTGCTCCGTAACCCAAGGGCCCAGATTGTCGTCGCCCAGCACAATCTGCACAACACCGGGCGGCAAGTGTCTGTTGAACAGCTCGACGCATCGGACGTCGCACAACGGTGTGAAAGGCGATGGCTTGATGATGATGGTGTTACCGGCGAGGACGGCGGGGATGATCTTCCAAATCATGAGAAGCACTATGAGATTGAGTCAGCGTCAACCTCACA